CAAGTGCGAGATGAATGTCTTTAAAATATATGTTTACAAATTCCAAGCATGTTTATACTTGAAATCGCTTCTTAACCTCTAGTCATAACCGACTGTTACTGACTGGATATAGTATAGCAAGCAGTTTCAAAGGGATTTGAAATCCTGGATTCGGAAAAGAGAATGGTTGCTTTTTAATGTAGATTTTGCTGTAGCATTCCCAACACTATCTTTGATAATGCAAAGTAAATGGATCAAAATGTTATACCGTCAAATTGTTCAATATTGCATTGATGCCATGTTTGTGTGTGGCATGCTAGCGTTGATCTAAAATTAGAAAGCTTTAATTAAATTTAAAAAAAACGAGGAGGGAGGTTAGAAGAACACATGAATTAATGGGGTACATTTAAGTTCAATTGTGATGAACAGATTATTTATCATTTATCTTTCTAATTCTACAATATGGATATCATCAGTCATATCAACACACCATGAGTTTTATATCGACAGAATATTGATACCATGTATTGTACGTCAAAAATTCTTATACGAAACGTTTTGCTCACAAAACAAATTATTGTCTTTGTCAGTGGGTTTAAAATAACAGCTTATATTGTTGTTTCTATAGCGCTGTAATGAAAACTGATAACATTTGCTAAACATCAGAACTGAATTAGAATGGACAGTGTACTTGAATTTGTTTTTCTAACTACATATAATTAATAATTACTTATTACTTATTGCAGACAGCTAACAATTTGTTTCCAAAATAAATTAATTTGTATCCTTGGTTTCATATCTTAATCTTTAAATTCGTTTTATTGTTTCTAAGCTATGAAATAAAAGATAGTTATTTCGTTATAACAAAATAACATCATAAACATAAAACGAACCCATCGTGTCCAGTAAAAGAATGTAAAATCATATTTATTTTTGTCGTTCAAACTTTGTGGTTTTGTGGGTAAATCTAGTTCACAGAACTATAACACATGTCAACTTTTATATATTTGTTATTTCGTGAGCATATAAAGTTGTGGATTTAGAGTGCCCTTGAATAGAACGAAAATATATCCGCAACGAAAATGAAAATGAACGATTTTACAGTAAACCTTTATTAATAGTGAAGATTGTATCATACTATTAATACCTTTTAAGTATCCTACGTTTTCCCGGCCATTTATCTTGTCACATTTTTTTTTCTTTTTCACAATAAAGCCCATGTTGAATCATAGGGTCAGTACTTTGTGACTTTTCTCTTCAACAATTTCAACTTAACATTACCGAAATACCGCAATGAACTTTTATCCTAAGCGAGATTTCATCGGTTTACACAGAAATAGAAATTGCATTTACGGTATCTACTTCTAATTTCGTATTGAGCGTTGCTATTCACTAATGTGTCGTTTGTATAATCGTCTACATTGCAGGTAGTAGACACTGCTGGTGGATTTCTATTCCCCGAGGTTTGCCGTAACCTGTAGACCACGTTTAAATGCACTCGAATAGCTGTGCACTGTACAGAATATACACATTACACTTTAAAATCATATTGTATTGAAAATATTAAAATTTATTGTATTTTGGGTTGAATGCACCTTCTCTGTCTGTTTTGTTAAGGTTTTTTTTCTAAATGAATTGGGATTTTTTTTCTCAGTCGCATCCCAAGTTTCAACAATTTACGCATTTGGCATCAATGACTAGTCCTACAGATCAAAACAGCTCTACGATGTATCCAGTGTATGTCACTACTTTAATTCTAGATTTATTATAAAAACTACTGTTCACTCTCGTGTAATATGTAAAACATTTTATTAATATCAATGCATGTCATTTTTATCATTCAGCATTGATGGTTTATATCTGATTATAAGATATAACATATTGGATTGCCTTGGCAACAACCTCTGTTTATACCAAGAGATGACAAGGTCATTGATCTATCACTGATATAACATAGATTTTAACCCAGGTTCTTATTCATAAACAATAACATAATTCACTATTGCTGTTGTTAGTCCATAACAAACTATTCCAAAATCGATTTTGCTCTCTTAACAGCTATGATAAATTAATTCTTTACGGTTTTCCAATTCTGCCAGCTGTAGATTCTGCACAAACTCATATACGAATTAACAAGTTATTTACTAATTCTGTTTTTATTTTATACCAAAATATTACAAATTGGTTTTGCTATGTAAACTTCTATAATAAATTAATTCTTTATGGTTTTCCTTTTTCTGCCTACTTCAAAGATTTTGCGCAAATGTATTATATTCAATACTCCCTTGTGGCTTACAAGTGTTTTATTGTCTCAGTTTTTCTGGCTACATGGATTCTTCGTTACACTTCAATGTCTAGTATGTCAAAGCTTATTTTGTTCTCTTTCCTTGCTGATATTGTGTTAATAGAGAGAACGGAACCTGGCATAAGTCAATACAGCAATTAAAATATGTCAACTCTACACTTAAAGGCCGAATGACAAAGTGTTGTATTATGGAAGGTAGTTTTCGTAAGAAATAAAAATACAAAAAAGCACCTAATAAATTACACTTTTATATTGATAGAATATGCACCAAAGAAAACTGCTTCACACAGCCGCTTCTACTTCCATATACTTTTAAGCGTTACTAAGAACTCAGAATACGGAAAGAGGGAGTACTGAGTCTTTATAGACTTAAAAATGTTATGTGTGGAGAAGCACCAAATATTGCTTATCTTTGTAAGAAGTGTCCCTACCAAAGCAGGTGTTTTCATTGCAAAAGTTATCTTCATTTGCTTTACTTTTGCTGTTTTCAAGAATATGACAACACCGCCAAAAATAGGTTGTAAACAGTGCTGGTAAACGTTTAGTCGCCAGGGTTCAACATAACATATAGGCCTTAATTTCATTGTTTCGGTGGTTCAGAATATACACCTGTACTTGGCATTGTTCTGAAATCGTCAGATATATGACAATTACGAACTTTATTGAATCATTGGGCTAGTGAATCTTCCAATTTTGACAATGACACTTCTCTCGATCACTGTGAATTTTCCACAGTCGCCTTCTATGTTTCAAAATTTAGTCCCTTGGCCTAGAAGGTCGAAACAGTTAATTCAATAATTTGGTTTTAATGTATTTCATTCAACATTTGTATCTTTTATACAATGTTCATGACAAGTTATCAACATCTGAGCGTTAAACGTTTGTCACATGATTTCCAGAGATGCGTCATGGTGATTGTTATGGAAAGGATCTTTGGTCGTCACAATAATCTCATTGATTTTTTATATGCTTGTTAGTATACATGTGGTTTTGTTGTTATTTACTTTTGTCTCATTTGGCATTACTAACTTGGATTGACTGATATTTACATGGCAGACGTTGTCGATGAAGGAGAAGACGCTTACCTTTTCGGAACCCCTGGTCTTATTTTCTTTTTTCAAAACTTCCCGTATTTATCCTTCTTTTGTTCATATTCTATTGTCGTTTTATTAATTTTGAGCTCAAATAACGATTCTGTTTTATTGGACTCTTTGGTGTTAACATTAGTATATTAAAACGGATCGGTTATTAACCAAATTTTCAAATATCTTGGCTCTGCCAATAGACGAGCTGAAAATATGGATCATAATTATCGGATTGAACTTTCGCGCATTAGAAATGTGCTGTTATCGAGGAGCCCTACATATAGAAACACGGAGAGTACAAGGGACTTTATAGTTGTACTTTGGAGAGTTTAAACATTATAAAATATATTGATTTTTACATGCTATTCAAGAAAATTAGATTATAGAAAAAACTTCACTACACGCTTCAAGGACGTTTCACTATTTTTGAATCGCTATGGGCTCCGCAACGCAATGATAGGACTATCGAAGAGAGCAGCAAATAAAAAACAGATGCTGGTTTGCCATGATGAAAATGACAGATGCAGGTTTGCCTTGATTTCCTTACGTATATGAATGGCTAAGAATGGATATCAAGCATTAATCAGGTCCAACAAACACTTTACATGTTTCTACTGAAGAGGAATGTTTTATTTATAAGTATTGTGATTGATACAGAACTAACGTGATGTTGGGCCGTCTTTAATCACCTCATAACACAAACAAACGTCGATATATATGTTTATATAATACACATGTAATGTCCATTGAATTGTTTATTACTGGTGAAATACACTTAGGTAATGGATGATGCAGCTTAAATTCGAGGTAATTGCGAGAATTTCTAGTTTGTTTAAACCGTAAATACAGCATTGACGTAATTGCAACACATATAGAGTGACGAATTAAAATAAATTATATATTTTATGATCTTACTATGTTCATTTCTACTGCATATATAATAGGTTACATTAAAATGCCATCAATATTTAACAAGATTGGCTGCATACAAATGTTTTGACTTGTTTTATTAGTATGGAACATGGTTTAAAAAACTAAAATTGAGCAGTTTAGATTATCTGCTAATGGTTTCTCTCATCATTGTGTACGAAATACACATTTACACAAATTGTATTAGGAGCTGATTTATTCCGCTTGTTGAAACCTGACACGGTAGTTGTACAAGACGCTCCCGTGTTATCTCTATTCCCCTTTATGGTAATATTGGTAGATTATAAACTCTATAGAAATTCCCCTGTTTACCATCATAGCCATTAACTCTGAAGAAGTCATGATCGATATTTCACAAATTCATCCTTGTTTTGTGTAAACATACAAAGTACCAAAGTAATATTTCAAACGATTATTTCAGCTTGACTTATGGTTATTTGATATCTAAAACTGCAAACGTTAACAACAAAACGACCAAGTGGCAAAGGAATTATATTTCTGGTGAATTTCCCGGCTGATGATATGTAACAAGTGACATTATCAACGGGTATTTCAGTATTGTTATAAAACATCGTTTTTATACCTCTCATGTCTACACTACAATCAAACCCAAATTTATTATCCCTCTAATGACGTGACAAGGGAAGCTAGATATTGTTTTATATCAATAACATTGAGTGATATAGAAAGTATGTTCTCACCTGTACAGAATCCATGTTCAGAACACTTGTATCCAAGTTTAACATTGCACTCTGTGTGTCCGGGGACACACTTAGCCCCTCCTAGCCCTCCACAGCACGCTCGCTCGGGGAGGGGACCCTCTCCCTGGCAAATATCAGCATCGTCGCAATTGAAGTCCACTGTTCCGATAACGGAAAAGCTGATCGCTAAAATCCCTGGTAAGAACAGTATAGGCTTAAGCATATTGACAATGAAGCATGCTTCTCTGTGTACCGTCTCTGCTAGACTCAGTCTTTACCTCATTGTTCAACCATTAACCAATGCCGAAGCGCCATCTTAAGTGTTCCTGTGATTGAAGGTGAGGACGCCTCTGAAACCATAATCTCTTTCGTCCTGACTTTTATGCCAACCTCTAAGGGTGGTCTTTTCACACGTTGTCACATTTCCTATTTAATGTTAAAATTCCAACACTCTCTTTACATTAACAAATCGATCCTTTTTCGCAACTACTTTGTGTCCATTTAAGTTCTGTTTCATTTCTCATTACAGGCTTATTGTACGAAATACAATTTTATCGTTCCCAGTTATAAAAACTTCGTGGATTACTGTAAACTTAGTGATTTGAGATACGATGTAATGGTATTCACCATCAAACAACTTTTCTAGAAAGTGATGTAATTGTCCTCAATGATTGTATAGTTGCAATCGATCAAAATGTTCAATTGCTGTTGTTGTTTTTGTCTGAGGTTGAAAACACCTCATCAAAACGTCACATCCATCACATCAGTAGATAAGACACAAGATCCAAGACAACCGAGCAGGGATAATGAACACTGTGTCGACACTAGCTAGATCACAGGAACTCTAGATTACCGGGTTACGGGATGGATATCCTTATTTCTGTACTATTAGATCAGATATTAAAAAGAACGTGTGGTAGTTTGCCACGGCCATCGAATGACTAAATCACCCAGTGTCAATACTGCTCTATGTACACGAGACTTGGTGGGAAGCGTTAAACAAATTGACACGCGTTCCCGAGTAAACATTGACCGCTTCAGTGGAAATCTGCGTATATCAGCTTAGTCATCGGTAGAGAGGCAAGAGGAAGTGAAAGAGGACGATTACGAGAAATAGGAGGGCGACGACAATAACGAAAAGAGAAAAAAAAAAATGTTTATGATTTACACAGAAATAACAAAACTATGTTACCCATTGTTTACATATTTTTACTCTCTTTGGTTGTATTATTACTTCTTCATATCTATTCACAGCACGTCATTTTTCATTTTTTCATTTCATTTCAATTCTTTTGTGATTTTTGAAATTTCATTTTGCTTAGGTCGCCTCTTATGTTTCAAATCGTTAAAGAAATAGCTGTTTGATCAATCTCATTTAATTCTTGACCATTTTTATTGTAAATAACTTTTTGTCCCCGAGGTTTGCCGTAACATGCATGCCACGTTGTGGAACGGTCCAGAATATACACATGTATTTTTCAAACATTACCTGATATATGAAAATTACAAAAGTTGTTGAATTATGGGTTCTTCTGCACCTTCTTATCTAGATTTTTACTTTTCTGTCTATCACTTTGGATTTCCTTCAATCACCTCCTAAGCTTCAAAATCAATGATCTTATTATCACACACGAGTCTAGCTCCACTATATCTAACTCTACATTTGCATTAAAAAGGTGCTAAAACCTAGTGTGTCTTTTGTATAATATTTGAATTAAAAGATGTTACTTTGTGTCTTTTGAACAGTCTTAATAAGAGGATTTAAGAGTGTGTTACTACTGCGCTACCCGACAAGTCGTTAGATTTTAAAACAAAGCGAAAAAGCGAAATAATGGATGGTTTAACAGCATGAATTTTGATCTGTTAATCTTGGGTTTTGTTTTATTTTATTTTTTTTATTATTTTTTTTATTAATATTATATGGTGGTTAAACCTTTCGACAACATAAACGTATTACTAAGATTGGAATTCGCTTGAAAGGTTGACAAATATAACTCGAGGATTTAATTTCAAAAGAAATTTCAACTCGTATGTCTTTCTCCGCAAGTGAAAGTTAAGTGTACTTTACACGGCGAAATCGACTTGATATTGGCATTGAAAAATTGATTATTGTACACATATCTAATAAATTACTAGCTGTTTGAAATGTAAACTGTTGACTTTTGTTATTTTGATTGTGTCTTCTGAACAACAATGTAACAGAATCTGTATTAGTGATAAAATTAATAAACAAAATGGATCTACTGAGTTGCCCGTTCTTTTATACATGTTAAACAGTAAATTACGTAATGACTTTAAAAATGTATTTGGTAGTTTAAATATTGTCATCAGCTATATGTATGATAATTTACATAAGGTCAGTGACTCAGTAAAAGATATTAACTACCCATATATCGTTAAGGTCCTTTTGGTGTTTATTTATCATGTACATACAGTACAGTTGACGATTGAGAAGACGCCTTTCTTAATCAAGTTTGTGGGAAAATATTGGAAAAAGAAATTGAAGCTTTTGATGGGCTGCAAAAAATCATCCTTTATTCAAGTTTTATAACATTACGAAAACATGGAAAAATACGAAGAAGTGACAAACGCCGAGGAAGAAGTTTAAGAATAATTGAATTTCACCGAAATTGAATTTGATCATATCTTCAAAATGTTTATAAATTTTGTTATATATTTGTTGGAGTTTGGGTGATATAATTCATTACATGACCGAGACAAAATGTAAAGGATATATGTTGAAAACGATATCTAACCATTGGAATAAATTTTCTTCGAACCTTGTAATTAAGATAAAGCCAGTTTTTTTGATAATATTATAGTCATCGAAATCGTAGTCCTGTACTGGTTACGATGTTATATGTCGCTAAGTTGTTATGTACTGAAACATTTAGCGATATATAATGTACAAATGTAAGTGATTACTTTACAGTAACAACATAAAAACATTCAAGTAGAATGGAATATTTTCTTTGTTTTCAAGTATTTCCTGTCGGATGCATTGCAAACCATTTCGAAAAGTACATTGAGGCTCTAGGTGGTGTGGGACCATTTTATCGCCGACCTCTTACAGGAAATGTTAAAAACAACATTCATTCGGCTTGCAAGTAGTAGGTGTAAAAACAACCTGAAAACGTTTATGAAATTTACATGCGGAAAAGCTGGTTTGAAAAGAAACTTAACTAATCACGGCGGTGAACAAACATGGTTAACACGGCTTTACGCAGCGGAAGTGGACGAACAGGAAATCACGCATCCCCGGAGTTAGCTGCTACTGTGTCGTGCGTGCTGGATCCCCTCTAGTGGAGAAACAACAGTGGACGAGAACTGCCCGCCAGCAAAATATCCAAGACTGGAAATAGACAAAACTTCTTAATCTTTCATGTGCCCTGTCCAGATACAGGTATTGACGTCTAGAGGTTCCGTTTTTCATGGACGCAGTATTAATATCCAATATGAGAAATAGAGTGTAAACTGGATGATATAGATGACTTGAATTTTCTGATTTTTTGTAATTGAAATCAACGAAGTTTATTTCTTATTGGAACTCAGCTGCAGGCATCTTATCCATTTTTTCAACAACGATAATTTCATCGTGAATTAATTGACTTGTTCTGTTTTTTGTATTGTAGACACTGATTATTGCATTAACATTTAATGATTTCCAAAAACTTGACATTATCATTATTAGAACTCCTGCATTCCTGAAAGTCAATTAATAACAAAATCAGACCAATTGCATTAAAATCACCTCACTTGGAAAGTGGATTCTACAACAAATTATTAATAAATTGTTGACATCTGTTATAAAAACGCATCTATAATATATTTACTTCTCTGAGAAGGTAAATAATACAATAATGTCCGAAAGCGAGTTTTTGATCTCCAACCTACGTCTGTCTGTTCATCATAAGACAGCTGTACATCTTCGCAACAACACTTGTAAAACTTAACGTTAAAGAAATATGTCACATCATTTTACCTATTTCTGCACTTAGTTTCATGTTTTATTAATATAGAAAATATAGTTTGTGTTTTATTGTCAAGATTGTTACGTTTTTCTGGTTCTTTACTCCTTCAATCTTAAAATAAAGCAGACCAGTTATTAGTATGTACCGTGCTAAAAGCAATCATTACATATGATGCTTGATTTTCCTATACTTATATGAAATATCTCGGTCAAAATGAATGATTTAATCAGGTTAAAACACGTTTTAAGGGGAAGCACAGAATGAAGTTTTTTTAACCGTTTAACTCAATATTTTCATTAATTATTGAGAAATCCGGGCTGAAAATAAAAGTTCCTTTCAACGGCCAAATCATTAGTATGAGAAATGTGAAGGTATGCTAGATTAATTGCTTAAGAAAATAACGTTAAACACTTTGAGTTTACAAAGTTCTGATAACAAATAGTGTCTGGGACTTTCTTTTGTTGTAATGCGGTGTCTGATTAGGAATTGTACAAGACATACAGCTGAACAGTATATGTAAGGAGAATTAAGAATTAGTTGCAGTAGCGCAAAATGTTGAAAAATAAATTGTTTCTCACGTCTAGGACTCATCAATTATACTAAGGGAGTCAGTTATTAAAACCCAGGAGACGACTGAGGAAAATCAAAATTGATCCAAAGAAATGTCATATTCTAGAAGCAGTAGCGCCAAATAGTTAAATAACCGTATCAGCAAATGTTTCGCCCTTCCAGGTCTCATCAGTAATGACAAGGCCGTCAGTTGTTGGGAACCCAGGGGACAAGTGGGGAAAATCCAACGTTGTCGGAATAAATGTCAAACGTTAGACAGGAAGGTATATTTACATTAAAATTAATAAATTTGATTATATGCAAATATTGAATTATTTTTTTTAAATCGTCCAGTAGACGTGAATATTCTGACATGTGCCGCTGTTTAGGTGACTGCGTTTGACCTTCACGTATCAGCATGAATACATAATGGTAGTTGCATGCAGGCAGAATAAATCGGAACTCAAGCGGATTTACTGATATCCTCCATGTAACTCGATAATATTTACGGAGACAATAGTTTGTTAACAAAGCACTTTGATCGATAGATAATTAATAAAGTAAATGTTAATTAAACAACGTGGAGACGGATTTTATTTTCGCTCAATATTTTGATCCTCCCAAAGCTAGCACTTTCTAATAAAGCAAACATAAAGTTCAGCCATGTCTCATAAATACATCGTGCTTCTTAATGAAGAAACAT